GGCAGCGGGCGGCCCTGGCAGGGCTCGGTCCGGGAGGGGATGCAGATTCACTTTGCTGGCGCTGGAAGCCAGATGGAGCTGTGTTAATGCCGTGCTGTGCCGAAGCCTCCCGTGAAGGCAGGGGGCTGCTCCCTCTGCTCCCCTCCGCGCTCGCCATGAGGGCCCCGGCACCAGCAGAGCGAGGCGGGCGACCCTGGCAAGGGCCGGCTGGTGCTGGAGGAGAGGTGAAAATAAACAGCGGGCTTGAAATCTTCAACCGGTTTCCTCTTGAGCTGCTGTGGATTTGGGGAGTGTTTTGACACCGTAGAGCTGCGTCCCGGGTGAGAGGTTTGGAGCTCGCTGACGATCCAGCCACCGCGTCGGCTGTGTTAGAAGTGTCCTTGACGAGGAGAGTGAAAGAAAAACGCAGTGCGGAGTTGGCATTTCAGCTCTTCATGAGGTTAACTCTTAGGTTGGACATTAGGAAAAGGTTCTTCACCCAAAGGGTGGTGGAGCACTGGAACAAGCTCCCCCGGGAGGTAGTCACGGCACCAAGCCTGACAACATTAAGAAGCGTTTGGACAACGCCCTCAGACATACGGTGTGAATTTGGGGTTGTCCTGCGCAGGGACAGGAGTGGGACTGGATGATCCCTGTGGGTCCCTCCCAACTCAGGCCATGCTATGGCTCTAACAAAACATATACTTCTTGTTTGGTTTTGCCCTGGAGCGGCGATGGAGGTTCTGGGTTGCGATGACACCCTAAAGCCTCCCTCCTCTGCCCAATTCTGCTGTTTGTGGTGCTGTCCAGGACAAAATTTGCTTTGTATTTCCAAACCACAGGAAAAGCAGTCGTTGTCATTTCTGGTGCTGGTACAGCACCTGCCACAAAGGTGCTTTTGCCAGGGTCTCCCAGGCGCTGCAGGAGCATAAATAATAACGTATGTGTCTATATTAATTAGTCTTATATTGCTGTCTGCCAGGTGAAACGGTGTTGCGGAGGGAGCGAGAGTGCACTTCGCTCGTACGAGAGAGCAAAAAAAAAAAAAAAACAAACTTTATCGATATAAATCAGTGAGTTAACAAACTTCAATGGTAAACGCGACAGTGGTTTAACGAGAGTCGATGGCCAGGTACCCTGGGTGATTCACTGCGCAGGGGACGGGGTCAGACAAGGCTGTCGGGAGCCCTCCCGTTGAGTCGCGGGGCTCAGAGAGGCCCCCCCGGCTTTCTAAACCCCTCGGAGAGGAGCCTCGGTGCGGCTGGATCCAGACTTAGCCTCAGAGTTGGTCAGCGGTTTATGTCTAAGGGGTTATAGGTGCGCAATCAATCCTTTACATCGCCTAGCTAAGATTTCAAAGTTTAGCATGCTGTTAGTCGCTCACCGAGGATCTGTTGCGGCAGGGAATCTCTCAGCCTCGAGGAGGAACCCGGAGAGGCGTCCCTGCTCACGGGGAGATCCCGGCGTGCAGCCTGCTGCCGTGCAGGAGCGCACCGGGCTCTTGGGCTGCTCGCTGTTTATGGGGGAAGACGATCGACTCGTCGTCATGTCTGCATACCGACCGCAGGTGCTGTTTTTTCCCAAATCTGGCTTGAATCGGCCCGGACCAGCCCTGTGGGCGCGTTGCCATAAATTAGCCCTTGGCTGTTGCGGTGTTCCCTGTCTCCCCCGAATCCCCTTTGAGCTGGATGCAGCCATCACGACCGCCACTGGTGATGGTCGCTTGAGCAGGGTTACGGGAAAAGGTCACTTGTGTGCGTGCGGGGAGCACAGCGCCACAAACGGGCACCCCCGCGGCACAGGGAGCGCCTGGCTTTGCCGGCACGCTGGGGTGGGGTATTTGCCCGCCTGAATTGGGCGCCTGGGGGCCCGGGCACGCTGGGGCTGGCTGGGACAGCGGCGTGAGCCAGCCTGCGCGCGTCCCTGGGCCGGCGTGGGCTGCGAGTGCCCGTCCTCGGGGACCCACGCGGGGCTGAGAGCCGGGAGGAGACAGCGTGCACCTGGGGAGCGGAGCTGCAGCTCAGCTCCTCCGTGTGCTGGAGCAGCCGCTAGAGACTTTTGAGCCCCCCAGCGCCGTGGGCGGTGTGTGAATTTGGCTTTCTGCTCGGCAGTGGGTGTGAAGAGACTGTGAATTCTCATCAGTACTTTCATTACCTTAATAAAATTACTTCAGGTCTGTTAAGTTCTTTTGCAGAAAAAGAAGACATAATTGCACGTTTCGGTAGCTTCTCCTTCCCCCTGGGTCTCGCTTCCATGGCCGTTTGTGAAATCCACGTCGAGGGGCTTCGGGGTCTTCTCCAGGAGCCTGGGCCAGGCGAGGAGCTGGTAAACTCTGCTCGGCACCGAGCCTCTGTCAGGATGGCCCCTCTCCCTCTTTCATCCTCTTAGCTTTGACAGATGCTGAGAAGTTATTCAGAGCTTTGGTCTTTTTAAACAAAAGGTTATTGTCAAAGCTTTTCTTCTGTAAGAGACAAGTTCTTACCTAAACTCACCCACTCTACAGAAATAGCAGTGATAATAAGCCCAAAATGAGGAGATTAAGAAGTGGCATTCGTTTTACCCCATGGCTGCCGTTCACCAAGGTCTTCCAGCGCTACCCGCTGTGCCTTACGCTCTCCGTTACCCTCGCTCTTGCATCAGAGACCCTGTTCGAGTCCTTTTCGCTTTGCACGCACTTGGGATTTGTCCCGTTCAGGCCTGGATGGCCGCCGTTTGGAGTCAGCGGCAGCGTGTAGACCAGCACAATCCAGATTTAGCGCTGTCTGGGCTACTCAAAGAGTTTGTTTCAGCGCATGCTTTGCTTTAAAACTTACATTTTATATTAGATGATATTTTTCCGCCTAGCATCTCTGATGCGAAGTGATAAATTGAGGGAGGTCTTTCCTGTCACCAGCTCAAAGACCCTGGGACCCTTTGGATGGCGCGATGACACAGGAGATATGAGGACTGAGAAGATTGCCTGGAAGTAAGTTGATGTTAGATGCTACTGGATGGTCTTGGAGCAGATGGCTGGATTAATGGATTAATTAATTACTGGGTCACAACAACCCCAGGCACCGCTGCAGGCGTGGGGAGGAGCGGCTGG